TAGTTAAATAATTTAAAATATATTAAAATATTCAACAATCAACGTTGTATAATATACATTAAAATTTTATTTAAAAGCCGTTGTAGAGTGCCTTTTTTTTACCACCGTTGATCGTTTGAGTTTTCTAATATATTTCAGTTTAATTTGTTACAACTTACTAAACAGGCCAGATCTTGTACGTATTAAAATCAAATATATATATATATATAACTTGAAACCCTTAAAAAAACACCTACAGAAAAACCGTTTTAGAAATTCAATTTTTTTTCCAGTTTGTAGTATGCAGAGACAAAAAAAAATTAATTAAATTAGTGAAAATTAAAAGTGGCAGGCCACAAGTAAAATGTGACTATAGTCAGTGGACTTGTCAGTCAGGCCGAGGAAATTACAGCCTGTATAAATACGTATGTTTGTGAAACTACGAAATTAAATAATAACTAAAAAAGAATGTTTTGATGTCTTCTTATTTCCATCTTAAATTTAGGCTTAATAAATTAATTTGGGTATGCGTAAAGAAAGTACTTGCCACGATCTCATTATTCCACAAAAACTATTGTTTAAAATATTCTTAAATATATTTTTTTTCCAGAACTAATTATGTTATGGCATAAATATTGTCTTTCCACAAGCTGTGTACAAAAAGCGTTTATTTGTGCAGCTGTAGTTAGAATGTCATTGTAAAGCTCTGTTGCTAAAACCAGTTGCTTGCGTGTTTTGAGTTTTCAGTTTGATGTACACCTCTTTTCTTATCTAGTACGTTAACTGATTTAATATGTATTTTAGTTAGTACGTGCATCTGTTTTGAAACTAATGTTAATGGCTGATTTAGCAAAACAACGAGAACAATTGAACCTTCAATGCTGTACAACTAGTGTATTTTTTGTTTTTCTTAGTAATTCTCAATCTGATCTACAAAAAATAAAATAGGTGCTGCCTGAGGTCGTTTGTGGTATATCTGTGGTGTTCGCATGCGTGCGCGTGTACTGTATGCACTGTGTACCAATGCCTACAGGTGGCGTGAAAAGTTTTCTGATAAATATTCCTCGTTTTGTACAAAATACATCTTTAAGAACTGCGATATTTTTCGAATGAGCTCGTGCGAAGCATCACGTTTGTTCTTTATATAATTATGTGTGAGTTGTTTATATGCCATAGATCGTAATTCCTAATAATTCTACGCGGAAGTACACGTTGTATATCGATTGTTAAACGAACAAGTTTGACAATTTGTAGTTTATAAACCGTTGATTCGTTAAATACGGTTAACACTCCATCGTAATGTATCTAGCGAACGAAAACATTATTTTAACTTTACATACAGTAAAGTTTACTAAAAGCAATTATTATTATGCATCTTTAAAATACAAGTTCGTTACTTAGAATTCTACCTAACGAACTTGTATTGTTTTATGTTCTTACTTTAATTATTAAACAGCAGTAAAAGCAAACTGTATTTCTTGGAACATACATTTAACAGATATTTCAGTGATGGTTTTAATAAACTTGTGTTGTTTTTATATTTTTTTTATTTCAGTATCTGTACGCATGTTTGTTTTTTTTTAAAACAAGGATGTGTCAGTAGCTGAAGTGTGAATAGGTTGGTAACCAAACCTGAATTGTACCTGAGTCTGTGTCAGTGACCTTATAAAGGTGGTCGAACGACCTTTAACTCTGCCATAGCACATATATAAAAGGTTCACTTTAAAAACATGAACAGTGACCTAATTTTCGACGCACATTGACTTTATGTAGTCCATGCTATATTTATTGGGCTGGGACGTCGTGTATACGGGGAAAGCACTATCTATACATATTAATGCTCTTTTAAGTTTCTGAATTTGAGTAAAAAAAACAAATTTTCCGGAATAAAACTTATGATTTTGAATGTGTCTTTAGTGAATTTTTTATTTCCGTAGACGGAGGTTTTAAGATATAATAATTTCAAATATTGTATTTTATTTATAATCGT